TTAATGTTAACCCCACCAAGAATATTTAAATACACTGAACCATGTGTTCAGCTTTAACGGCTGTACGCCTAAGATTTACAGAGGAAAAACATCGTGAGAATGAGTTTAGTATTCAGGTATGACTGATTAAACGCGCAGATACTTCATTGCTCCTGACAAACGGGTTACACTGAGTGGAGCTGTTGACCGTTCCAAGATGGCGGCCCTACATCGGTAATGTTGTATCTTGTGTTTATATCTATGTGGCAAGCCCTTTTAGAGAATCTGGTTTTACACTCCCGTGTGATGTCAGGTGGTGATTTCTCAGGAAAGAGAAACTAAACTGTGACACTGAGACTGCTGTGATTTCTCAGGAAAGAGAAACTAAACTGTGACACTGAGACTGCTGTAAGTGAAACACTGACTGTGCAGCAGATTAGCTCAGCAGATTGTCATTTCTCTTGGTGTAAAACTTTAAAACTGACATGGAGGGCGAAGAGTCAACAGAGACAAAGGACTCCAGCTGCACACCAGACCCAGTGAAAGACCCAGTGAAGAACAGGTAGGTCATGCTCAGCTGTGGAGATCTTCCTGTTCTAGCTCAGTTGACACCCTGGTGCTGTTGTTCTCTGCAGGAACGAGACAACAATGAGGACCAAAGAGGAGGACATGCTGTCCATGATCACTTGGAATGTGGATGGTCTGGATGATGAAGACCAGCCGGAGAGAGCCAGAAGTCTCTGCTCATATCTGACCTCGTGAGACAAATCTCGTTTCTTCTAAACCAGTAGTCCCCAACCCTTTACACATCAAGGTCCAGTTTCATACTAGACAACTTTCCCACAGACAAATGGTGTGTGTTGTTTTTAAATGGCTTTTTCTGGTTAACTTTTAGATAAACTAGGGGGGAAAAAATGTTCAATTTTTTTTTGCAAAAATCTGGCTGAAGATTAAAAACCACTTTAGCTGAAATCCAGTAAACCTGAAACTGATCTGTGAAAATTAACCGAAGAAAAGCTAAAAGCTAAACTAAGATCTAAGATCACCAAAGCTAAAATTAGCGCAAGAAAATCTAAAAGCTCAAATTAGGAAAACAATGCTTAAAATGTGCTAAAACAGTAGCTAAAAGCTAAAAATGGCAAAAGATCAGCTAAAAGCTAAAACTAGCAACATCGAAACTAAAAACTAAATTCAGTAAATGGGGGGAAGGGTGGGTGGGGGATTTGCATTTACATGGGAAACCCATAATAAAGACCAGATACACTATATAGAAGTTTTTTTTTATGAAGACCAAAATGAAGTCAGGTCATCTGGACGGATTCTTTTTATTGAAACGTTTCGTCTTTCATCCAACAGACTTCATCAGTCTGAGGCCATGTGACAAGCTCAGTCCTATAAATAGCCCCTTCTCAAAGTGGATAAACCAGTTCGCAGGGGCCATCCAGAACTTGCTTTTCATATGTAAAAGGAGGACCATCAGTCCAACAACCTATCGCCAGTAAGCTATCGCCAGTAAGCTATCGCCAGTAAGCTATCGCCAGTAAGCTATCGCCAGTAACCTATCGCCAGTAACCTATCGCCAGTAACCTATC